TTTAAAAATGTGTATTTATTCTTACATGTTTAAACTTCTATTTATTCTTACATGTTTAAACTTTAATCACCTTCAAAGTACTCTCTGTTTGACGCAATACACCTATTGAGACACTTTTCCCACTGTTCAAAACAGTTTTTGAACTCGTCCATTTTGATGCCTTTTAGTGCTTTGGTCCTTTGTTTCACCTCTTCCACATCACCAAACGCTTCCCTTTGAGGACTTTTTTTCATCCGGGAAACAAAAAAAAGTTGTTTGGGGCGAGATCAGGTAAATAGGGAAGGTGGGGCATGGGGGCATGTCATTTGGGGTCAATAACTGCTGAACACTCAGCACAGGGTGGGCAGGTGCACTTGTAAATCACCCATTATGAAACGGGCAAATGCCTTGAAGAAATCTCCACACAAAAAGGATTCACTGAAGCTGAACTAAGCTTCTCACAACAATGCTAGCTGGTACACTGATGTTGATGGGTTCCTAGAACACATACCTAGAGGAGGAAGCCTGTACTACAAGGGGCCCGTCCTCCAAAAGATCATTCCAGTGTTTTGGGGGCTCTCCCCTCCAATATCCCCTCTCCAATATCCCCTATTGAATACACTTCATGAGGGCAAAAACACATGTATATTGTTTTCATTGCTACATCTACGGTGCTTAGAATCCCACTGGGCACTTAGGGGCATCTGGGTGAATATCTGATGAAGGAAGAAATGATTTACTTTTACTAGGCCTTTCTAGAACTCTAAGGTACCATCACATATAAAGTGATCATTTGTATACCAGCAGGACATGATGAGTGCCTAATTTTGTCTCAAAGACCAGGAGAAAGTCATCCTTTGTTTCGGAGATTTCACATGCTAAAATCACAGAAAGCTCAGAGGTGGATAGGACCTAGCTAAGCTTCTTACAATACTGGCCATGTCTTCTTTGTCTTCATAACCCTCATCTAGTAGTGTCTGGTAGACAGTAGGTATACAATAATGAAACATCTATTAAAGATGATTATTAAAGAGGTTATTCTGAGGAGTAGAAATGAGAACCCCCCTTCAGATTTCATACATACCCCTACTACTGGAATATTTATAATATGCATGTGTTACTTTTATAATTAAAATTCTTTTTTTAGGAAAATGCTAATGAAGAATGAGTAACCATATAAATAAATGACATGATTGCAGCTTCTGGTTTTTTTTTGCAAAATAGGATAATTTTACTTCTCTTCAGCAAGCCTATGTGAAACCTACCACTTTCATATTCTAATTGCTCTACTCAATATAGTTGAGAGAACTGAGTATACCATTGTTTATTTTCGTTCAATTCTTCAATAAGTGTATGCTCTGTGAAACATTCAGAAATCAGAGATTACTAAGTAGCTAAGAATCAAGACAAATAGAGGATTTTCAACATTTTCAGATATTCAAATAGACAAATAGAAAATATTCAAAAGATAGCAAAGCAATTGTCATTCTACCTGCAAACTCACCAATTAAAGGAGGAAACAATTTTCTTTTTCCAGTGACATGTTATTTCACCAATTAGACTGTTTTTAGGGTGAAATACTCATGAGATGAATAACTTATTTTCCAAGACTGTTCAAATGTCTTTACATTTAAAAAAACCACTTTTTCCCCCACAAACTTGTATACTCCATTTAAGGAAAAGTGTTGGTATATGCAAGGTGGATGTTCACATATTCTTGATATACCTAAAAGTTTCTCTTAAAACGATGTCAAAAGCATGAGACTCTCTCTGGCTGGTAAAAAAAAAAAAAAAAAGGCACTCATGTGCAGTAATTATTTAGTACATTCTGCCAAATGTCACCTGAGCTTCTCTCACTCCTGCAGAGGCGAAACCCAGGATATTAATTTAAAACGGTAAGGAGGTAAGGAAAAGTCTGACATTGAAGCATGCTAACTCAGCAACCAGCTGTAAAATTAACAGGGAAACTTGCTGGACACCTGCCACCCTTCTTTAAACAATAACATTTCAAGTATGGTTCCATGGGGGATGGTGCTGCATTTAGAACCTCATGTCAATTGAATATTCCCTTTAAAAAAAAAAAACAAAAAAACAAGAGCCCTGCCAGTCTGATGTGCTTCAGTGAGGTTTCAGAGCTTTGAATTGGAAAGAAACAAACAAAAGACTAGAAAGCCTCAAACTTAATAAGCAATGTCTCTTGGTCCCTGAGATAAACTAATTGTTCTCTATCTCCACAGGCAAGTCATTGTGCAATTGCACTTTGTTAATTTTTTTTTAATTTCAACTCTTTCTTTAAAAAAACAAAAAGGGGAGGGGATATAGTCATTTTTTCTTATATTGTGGGGAGAAAAAGAGAAAGAGTATGTCGAAGACTCTAATGACCTATGACCCCCTATACTGCTGCCCAGGAAAGATGAACAGCCCTGGCTTCATATGCCTATACTCCAAACTAAAAGAATAAATAGGTGGTCCCAAACTAAGAACACTTATACACAAGTGCACAGCTTAGGAGGTATATCTACATCACCCAAATCCTTACAAGTCGGTGGCTTATTGACAGATGCCTTCCTTGCACTGAGTCAGCTTCACTGGGAAGGGATAATATTCCAAAAAGATCATCCAAAATGGACTTAATGAGTTTTGGTTATATAAGCATACTTTCTTTTCTTTAGTTCTGCAGAAGTTAATTAAGCAAAGCTTTGATTCCATTACAAGGTAAGCCTTCCCAGAAATGTACAGAATTTGGAAGTAAAAGATTTGAGTGTGAGTCTTGAATTTCCTGGCCTTGAGCCTTTGGACCTTATGTCTTTGCCCAACTTAAAAAAAAAAAAAGGAATGAAAATAGCCCCTAGTTCATATGATAATGAGTAGCTTAAATGAGATAGTGTATATAAAATGCTTAGCATTTCCACGTAGTAAGGGCTCAATAAAAGTTACTGATTATTTTCTTTTTTTTTTTTGAGTTGGAATCTCACTCAGTCACCCAGACTGGAGTGCAGTGGCCGCTCCCGGCCACCGCAGCCTCGACCTGCTGGGCTCCGGCGATCCTTCCACCTCAGCCTTCCGAGTAGCCGGAATTACAGGCATGCGCTACCACGCCCTGCTGATTTTTTGATTTTTTTGTAGAGATGAGGTCTCGCTGCCCAGGTGGGTCTCGAACCTGCGGACTCAGGCAGTCCACTCACCTCAGCCTCCCAAAGGCGCGGTATTACAGGCTGAGCCACCGAGTCCAGCCTGATTATTTTCAATGGCTGACATACGTGCTAGAGCAGGGTTTCTCAAGCAGATAATTGAACCTGATGAGCCCTTGTTGTGGGGGACTGTTCTGTGCAGTGTAGGATGCTGAGCAGCATCTCTGGCCCTTCTATGCACTAGATGCCTATGGGGTGCACCCTCTGCCCAAGCTGTGACAACCAAAAATGTCTGAAGACATTATCAAATGTCCCGGGAGTAAAATCACCCCTGGTTGAGAACCACTATTGTGGAGATCATGACCATTGTGAGTGATAATGCTAATTATAGTCAAATAGTTTCTTGACACCATTTGCTTTGAGCAATTATTAAATACCACATTGGATATCTTCATTCGTTTTTTAAAACCTCACATCCACTCCTTTTCTGATAGCAACAGCCTCTTTGGGCCTTGAGAGAACCCCCTATTGCATTTACACCCTGTGGCTTTGTGTAAAGTGTAGGTGCACTTTCCTATTCACTATTTCACTACTCACATAGTGAATATGATGATCAGCATATGCTAGGAACATATCTCTATCCTATTGGCAGATGGTGTGGGAAGACTTCTAGAGTGCCTAGAAGTCACCACAAGGGGCCAGAATGAAGCCATCTTAGAAAAAACAGCTCTGTCCAATGAAACCTGGGGTCATCATTTGAACACTGAATCAATCTGAGCCTGAAGTTATCTCTACACCTCAGACTTCAAGGAATATAAACCAATACATTTCCTTTCAGTGTCACTTTGGGTTGATACAGCTACCTACGACATGCCAGACACTATTCTACTTGTGCCTCTAGGTAACCTTCATAGCAACCTTGTGAGATAAGTAATACATTGTCCCCATTTTACAGTTGGCAATGCAGGCTCAGTGAGTTAGGTGGCATAGCTAAGATCACACAGCCAGTATGTGGCAGAACAGACATTTTATTTGATTTCCTCCAACTCCCAGTCCAGCTTATGACACATGCCCCATTGTTGGCTTTGGTGGAGTGAAGTGGGAAAGAATAACACTGTTCTAGTTTTAAGAGAACTCTAAGAGAGGCTGAAGGTGAGGAGAACTTTGCCCAAGGTCTTTGAAAAGAAGATTCCTTGTGTTCTAAAGGATATTGTTAAATTTTTGCAGATGCATATTGGATATGTGAAAACTATTTGCTTAGAGAGACTTAACTCTTGCTCACTTCTTGATGTGAGATAGGGAAAAAAATTATATTAGTTAATATAAAACTGCCTTGTTTCTAACATATCCAAAAATAGCCAAGGAAAAAATTATCTTCACTAATAAAGCAAGGCAGACATGAAACCTTCACGCTTGGGAGAACACGAATGATCTTATTATCCTGAGCATCTTGATGGCGACTATAAAAATTCATCTTTATTTGAGTTTCAGGCAAAATATAAAATAGTAATATTACCTTGCACTTAACACTATCTGTATTCTACAAGTCTAAGTCCTGCTCCAAAAGAACTCATAATAAAACACCAAAGACACAACTCCCTCTAGCTTGTCTACACACATTGCTGCTTTTACCTACAACAGCCTGCAAGGAAGTTATATTATACCTTATCCCTGTAAAGATAAACTTACAAGGAAAGTTAAGAACTTTATCTAAGATCAACAGTTAACAAAAAATAGAGAGTGGAATGTAAAAGGTCTCTCTGACTCCTGAACCAGAATTCTACTTCAGGTTGGATCTCATAGGTAAACCTAGGTCTCATATGATGCAAGCCTGGAGAAAATAAAGAAAAAAATGAAAAAAAAGTAGTTATTAAAAGTCATTAAACTCACCTCCCTGCCTCAAAAGTGAACCACGTGGTATCACGTCCATACCGCCGCAGGGCGCTTAGTGGCCAAGAGATGAGTTTGACTCTGGGATTCTGGACGTCCCAAAGACAGATATACTCATATGTAATCTGCAAGGCACATTCGCCATGTACATCTAAGTTAGGAGATGGCATCAAATACACATTGAATCTCTCTGGGAGAAAAACAAAAGGTTAGTCTAAAATTCCCAGGAATAAAACATCAAAGACATTTTAGGAACATAGAGGCATTTACAAATAATTAAAGCTCACATTCTAGGTTTTGGTTGAACATTCAGAAAGATAAACCTTCCTCATAAATCAACGATCCCAGAAAAATGAATTTTTAAAACGTAGATACTATTAATTAACATAATGATGATACAGTCTGATTGTCAACGTACACTAAACACTATTTACATGAACAAAGACCATTTTTAGAATTTTTAAATTTGCATAATAAAAATGTCTATGCCAATAAAAGACTAAACCAATGAAGCCATGAAAAGCATTTTTTTCTGCCAAGCATACATTAACTACACCCACAATTCTGTGTTCACAAAAGATGCAGGTGCAAAATAATTGTCTCATGTTTAATGATATTAAATTCATATTGATCAACTTATAATTTCTATAACTAAATGAATAAAACCATATCCCAAATTATATTTAAATAAAACTAATACTATGCACTTAATTTGGGGAAATGCCAATGGAGCTATTGGAATTAGTTTTAACAAAGAGCTTTCTTTAAGCCAAATACTGAAAAAAACAGTACTCTTTTTTCATATTTGGATGATTGTTAAAATGTAAGCAAGATGAAATAAACTGCTTGGCTGATTACCACAACCAAATTTTCATCCCCACAGATACAGTCACCACATTTCTGTTACATATTCTAGCAAATTCATTAGGAAGTCCTAGAGCCTTTAAGAGAAATATGAACAAAAATATCACTATAGCAAACATATCCTCACTCATTCATAATTATGGTATTTTGCTTATATCTGACAATGTGGCACTAACAATTTTATATTAATGTTATTCTAGAATGCATTATTTTATAATAAAAGAAAATCATTTGAATTTTCATAGAGTTTAGTTGAATTTAGTAAATAATAATGTCAAGAATGTGTTAACGAAATGCATTCAGGCCTCTACTATCCAATTTTTAAAAACTACTTTAAACTCCTAATAATCAAATACTTGCTCCTTTCTTATAACTATTTTAAAAATATATTCTAATGGTGTAAATTTCCCCCTTGAGAGTTCTGAAACAAATAAGAAAGACTATCTAAATTAAGTAAAAAGTAAGAGAGCTCATTATCCATTTATTTGCTTACAAGTTATTCTATTAATCTGGCCTCACTTAAGAGTATCAACAAGGGAGTGGTGAAGAGAAAAATAAAAAATGGTAAAATAAAATTTTAAGAATAACAACAGCAATAGTGGTGGAAGTTACCATTTTAATTACAATTACTTGAAGTCATACAAATTAGTATTGTAAAGGGCTTTAGGAGACATAGTTGAATTTATAATGAGTCCTGGTAATTCTGCTCCAGAGGTATTCTTATTTCCATTTGACAGAAGAGGAAACTGAAGCACAGAAAACTACCATGGGAAAGGTCACTTCTAGGCACAGTCAATTCTTAAATTCAGTTTGAGTGCTATCAGGATACTTGGTTTTCAAATCTAAATTTATGAAAAATAAGTGCTAACCTGAGCACTGTAGATGAACAAAATGAGCAATCATTAAAACATGTCATGTTTTCTCCTTTATGTGTTGCTCCCAGGTATCCTCTCTGACCAGGGCATCCTGATTTAGTGAACCAGGAAAGAAGGAGACTGGGGATGGGTTGTGTGGCGTGGTACAGGAATTAATCTCTTTGCAGCTTAATTTCCCATTCTACAAAGAGGCTCCTCTGAATTAGTCAGTGCTTCAAGGTCTCAGTCAATAACACCTCTGTGGAGATGGATTATAGTAGCTATGGTGCATTCAAAATAGTCACAGACTGTAAATGTGTCGTGAAGACATAGATCCAATTGGGAGGGAGAATGTTTTTACTAAAAATGAGAGTGTGCACCTATGGAAAGGGTCAGTGCAATTCCATCTCTGCCATGTCCATAATCAAACCAGGTGAGACCCACAGACCCTTTGACTGTGACATGCCCCCATAGATCAAGTCAGCTGGCTAAAGCAGAACTCTGGGATCCAAGCACTAGCACTAGGATCCAGCTATTTGGATACAGAAATAATTCCTCACTTCCAGGTTTGTTTTGTAAACTAATACTGATTTTTGCTGAAGTGTTCATGAATATTTTGGTCATTATTATTTTAAATGATTTATTTCCAGGTTGAGGGTTGAGCTCAGAGCTGGCTCAAGTGCTTAATTACACACACACACAAAAAAATCCCATATTTTTAGGTGGGTATAAACTTGATGAAACATTAATAATGTTTGAATTATATTAAAGCATTGGAAAGTCCTCAATCACACTTTAAGCGAAAAAGGCAAGATAAGACCCCATTATACTTTAAAATCAGTACAATATAAATACAGGCCCAAGGGTATAGACTCGAATTGACACTAGTGAAATACTGGAGATGGAGCAAGGTCTTTAGCTCCTCTAAATTTTACTTTCCTCATCTGTAAGATGGGGTAAGTAATTATACCTACACCCTACAGCAGCTGTGAAAAATTACATAATCTGAAATGGGTAAAACATCTTCCACCAAACTGGCACACAGCAAGTTTCCAAAAATTTCCAACTGATATTATTAATGTCTATAAATTCATACTGTGAATTTTTAAAATTTTTAAGGAAAAAATATACTGAAATGTTAACATGAGTTGTGGGTTAAATAAGAGATTATTATTTTTATTTATTTATTTATATATTTTTGTAACTCAAAAATTTTACATAATAAAGATATCTTATATGTTATTATATGGGGACAAAAACAGTTTTAGAAGGGAGAGAAGAAAATAATTTTCTTTACATACCGCTCTGTTCTCTCTCAACCCCAGTAGCCAATAAGTCAGGCTCTCCAAGGCTAATGTCATTGATCCGTGTCCCTACACACTCCATCTGGAGCACTTTGCACCACTCATCGGCCTCAAGATCTGTGGAGATGTCCAAAAAATTAAACTGTGTGCCCAGCACCCACTCAAAAGCTAAAAGTCAAAGCCTCCCCAACCACAGCTTCAGACAAACCTGATTCACAAGCAAAGGTCTTGGAGGTATCATCATTGAAGTAAATCCCTATGGCGTGTTTCTTGGTGCTCTTTGGCAATCGAGCTACGTTCTTCACATTGTTGAGTTCTGTAACCTGAAATAATGAACAATTGGAAGTTTGATCCCACTCCTTAAATGAAAGTTTCCAGTATACAACACCAAAGCTGAAACACTGAGAGCAGGAAGGCACATCAGAGATGAGCACACTCTGACAGAAAAATGCATATCTATCTGAAAGCTAAGAATTATCTAAGTGAATTTAGTGTCATCCTTAATACATAGCAAGGATGGTTAACACATGATCTTTCCTTATTAAATTTTATGAAGCATGCTAAGTAGCACAGACTTAAAACTTCCTAAGTGTAGAAAACTTGTTTTAGTTTTTCTTCCTTTGATTTAATCCTCCACCAGACCAATAGTTATCATGTCTATTTCCATTACAGTGGACAGCCTTCTTTCTCAGTCAACTGCATAAACCTCCAGATACTCCATTCCTTGAGAGTACCCCTTGTGTGAGTATCATAAATGCATCCACCCAAGGAAGGGAAGGGTGGTCCAGTTCATTACTAGATGATCTCATTCTTGGCCAGTCACAAATGAAGTATCAAGGGTCTCAAAAATGGCCTCCATTCAAGGTTTATACATTCCAACACAGAACATCCATAATTAATTTAATGTTTTGCAATATCTTTCCCACTCTCTCTGGCTTACTCCTAGCTTCTCAATGGATATGGGACCTCTGTTTTAGAATCTGAGAACACTACATAGAAGCATCTTCTTCCTGTTAGGTGGAAAAGCTGTCCACACTAGACATTCTCTCTCTCCCATAATCCTTTGTCCTCTTTAACACTTTTGCAAGCCCCTCCCTTCCTGCAGTGTCTTGGCTCATTGTGTTTCTACTATGGTCATCATTCAGTTTCATCTGGATCCTCTGCTACTTAGAAAGTATGGGATATTTGGGTCCTGCCTAAGAGATGACTTAGGCAGCTTCAGGATAAGTATTTACAAGATAAATTAGCCTTTCACACTGACAAGTTTAACCTCCCCTTCATATATCTCTTTTGTGCTGCTATACAAAAGAATCTGCCTCCCATCAATCTTCGTCGACAATGATGCTGTATCATTTCTCTCATCTATTACTCTAAATTCAATAAATGCCTGGCTCCAGAAATAGGTGGGTAAAGAAATAAATATCCTCCATGCACTCTCTAATTTGATTATTTCATTTCCCTGCTTCCTAACCTCCCTGGTCCTTTTATAGTAAAAATGCAAATTTCTTAGCATGAGATGTCACACTAGTGCTCTTCAAAAGCTACCGAAACCAATCTCACCAGTGACATGGCACTATGCATCTCCAACTACACCGAGTGCCTCTGAGTTCACCAGATGCAACTATTGATGTTGTTGTTTGGTTTACTTTTGTGCCAACACCCCAATCCAAGTCATTATCATCTCACAACTACTTATTGGTCTTTCTACTTCCATTTAAATCCCTGTTAATCCACTCTGCATACAACAGATGACCTTTTTTTTTTTTCAAAACATAAGTTGGATTCCAACATTTCTATGCATAAAACTGAACATTTCAATGATTTCCCATTGCACTTGGGACAGACGTTTAAATCCTTAGAATGAACGTCAAGACCCCTGTGGTCTTTCCCATGCTAGCTCACCAGCATCCTCTATATATTCCATGTCCCAGCCACATTGGACTTTGTTCAGTTCCCAGATTTTCCTGGCACTGAGTTTTCCATACTCTCTCCATATTTCATCCCCACTCAGCCTACAGATCTTAGTTTAAATCTCAGCTACCCACAGAGGCCCTAGTAGACATCTCCCCCATCCAATATCTACTCAGTCTCAAGGCTATGCCATCCATCGATGTCCTCTACCTTTCCTATGGGTTCTTGGTTAGTGCCTGTCTTCCCTCAAGAATGAAAGTTCCATAGGGCAAGCATAGTTTTTTGTTTGTCTGTCATTGTGTTCCCTGAGTCAAGCACAGAACCTGTAACACAGTGGAACCCAATAAATAGATGTGAACTCCTTGAGCAAAAGACCAGTCTCACCCATAAATTTACTTGCATGGTGCTTCTGTAAAGCAAATGCCTCTCTTCTTTATCTTTGCTCCAAGGAAATTTCATTTTTCCCTTGAGGCTTACTTCCTCTTGCCTTGACCTTTGTGCCAATTAATTATTCTCCTCTCTATGTTCCTACATATGCTAAATGAAGCTCTATTTCATTATTTGTTGTTGTACTTAATCTGTTTCTCTCTCCAGTCCCCAGCTAGACTTGAGTCACCCAACAGTGAATGAAAAAAATTGCACTGAAAGACAATGTTTATTAAGTCCCTACCATAAGCCATGTACCGTATTTAGAATTTTATAGGAAATTTCTAATTTGATCTTCATAAGAAACCCTATGAGATAGATGTTATTATCAACATTTTCCAGATGGGAAAACTGAGGCTGAAGAAGGTTAAAGTCAGGCAAGCAAGTTCACAGCTAAAAAACAGTGGAACCAAGATCTAAACAAAGAAAACTGACCCCAAAGCATGTGCTCTTAACTTAACAGAAACACTTATGACTGACTAAAATCTTTCAGCCATAGCACGTTTAACCCCTGAAACTCATCTCCCAATTGAAGGCTTATTTCTTATGAATGTGGTTAGAAGTTAAAGAGGAAGTAGGACACATGTCCGCCAGCTTTATTCTGACCCTCTACTGAAAAATTATATAAGAGTAGTCCATCCCATCCTAAAACACAATGATTTTGAAATATGTCATTTCATTACATATCCATTAAGAACAAAGAGAAAGAGACAGTCACCTGAAATAGTCAGGAAATGTAGGGAAAATTGTATGACTCAGAACACTATTATACATTTTGGAAATTGGTTTAGGAAAAAAGCAACTCAACACCCCTGCTCAGAGGAAGCAAGTGACTGTCACAGACCAAGTAAGGTCATGATGTCACACACCAAAGGACAATCAGGTTTTATTGCAACAGTCTCTGTACCTACACCAGAACTATACCTCAATGTGCATGTACACACATACACACACACACACACACACACACACACATGCACATGCACACACACACACATGCCTTACTTTCAAAAGAGTTGCAATCTACACTCATTCATAATAGAGTCTACCTCAACATACATGCTAAAGTAATAATTATACTAGCTAAACTTTGCACAGGTCTTTACTAGTCACATGAAACTTTTGCCAAGTGCAGTAGCCCATGCCTGTAATCCCAGCATTTTGGGAGGCAGAGGCAAAAGGATTGCCTGAGCCCATGGGCTCGAGACCAGCTGAAGCAACATGGTGAGACCTCATCTTTACAATAAAGAAATAAAATTAGCCAGGCACGGAGGCGTACACCTGTAGTTCCAGCTACTTGGAAGGCTGAGGCAGATGGATCACCCAAGTCCAGCAGGTCAAGGCTATAGTGGCCATGAGTGTACCACTGCAGTCTAGTCTAGTCTGGGTGACAGAGTGAAACTCCAACTCAAAAAAACAAAAACTTTTCTAACATGTATTTAATTGCACCATTATTCCATTTTGCAAATGAGGAAACCAAGGCAAAACATAATACTTCTTTTACAAAGAAATCTGTCTTACAAGAAATACTAAAGGAAGTCTTTCAGGTTGAAAAGACAGGACTCCAGACAGCAACATGAAAGCAAATGAAAGTATAAAACTAGCTGGTAACAGTATTCATATAGACAAATACATACTACTGAAGTATTACAGCACTATATTACATGTAACATTACAGATGTTGCATAAACAACTTTTAATTTTGATATAAAACTGAAAAGAAAGGTAGTGGAAGAGTACAGTTTTGTATATGATTGAAGTTAAGTTATCATCTTAAAATAGATGATCTGAACTATAAAATGTTTTATGTAAGCCCTATGGTAACCACACACAAAAAAATACCTACAGGAGACACACAATAAAGATAAGAAAGAAATCAAAGCATGACACTAAAATAACTCAACAAATCACAAAGAAAGTAGCAAGCAGGAAAAGTAAGGACAAAAGAGCTGCAAGATAGAAAACGATTAACAAAATGGCAAAAGTAAGACCTTCCCTATCAGTAGTTTCTTTAAATGTGAACAGATCAAAATCTACAATCAAAAGATGGATTTTTTTAAAAATGTGCAACTATATGCTATTTACAAGAGACTCACTTTAAATTTAAGGACACATATATGCTAAAAGTGGAAGGATGGAAAAAGACAAACCAAATAAATGGTAATCAGAAGAGAGTAGGGCTAGCCATACTTATGTCAGATAAGACAGACTTTAAATCTAAAACTGTCACAAGAGACAAAGAAGGATACTATATAATAATAAAAGAATTATCTACTAGGAAGGTGTAGCAATTATAAATATATATGTACCCCACATCAGAACAACCAAATATATGAAAAAAACACTGACATAATTAAAGAGAGAAACAGACAGCAACACAATAATACCCACTTTCAATAACGGATAGAACATCTAGACAGATAATTAACCTCAAAACAGAACACTTGAACAACATTAAAGTCCAATTAGACAACAGACTATTACAGAACATTCTAGCCAAATACTTTATTCTGAAGTGCACATAGGATACATCATGTGTTAGGCTTAGCAAATTTAAGAAGACTGAAATTATACCAGGTATCTGATCCATTCACAACTGAATAAAACTAGAAATCAATAACAGAAGGAAAGTTAAAAATTCACAGTATGTAGAACTTAACAACACACTCTTGAACAATCAAAAGGTCAAAGAAAAATCAAAAGGGAAATTAGAAAATATATTGAGGTAATGAAAACATAGACATAGCATACCAAAATTATGGAATGCATCAAAAGTAAGAGGTAAGAGTATAATGGTAAATTTCCACACTAAAAAAAAGAACAGAAACCTCAAATGAACAACCTAAGTTGACATTCCAAAGAACTAAAAAAAAAAAAAAAAGCCCAAAATAAGCAGAAAAAATAGAGAATAGAAAAAAATAAATAAAACCAAGTATTGATTTTTTGAAGATCAGCAAAATCAACAAACACTTAACTAGACTAAAGA